GGCAAAAGGCGGCGTCGGCGGCGCCTCTTTTAATTGACATTAGTCAGAGCCTTCTGCGTCAATTTGTGGCATATGCAAACTGAATTGAACCATCAATGAATTGAAACTGTCATTGCATGTAACAAGAGAAAAAATATGAAAGGAAGGCTTTTTTGAGCTGTTGTGGGTGTCCTTGATGATAAGGCCCACAGCTAATACAGCTGCTGTACGAATATGTCGATTATTCACTGCACTCTGCTGCATTTTGATTATGAGCTGCGGCTTTTATGCCCTGCACCCATTGAAAATATCTTAAAATGGGTATAATGAAGATTTAAAATTGTTTGTAAGAGGTAGAAACAGAAGCAGATAGTCATAAAAATCAAATCTAATCTTAAATCGAGGTTTTTACTTTTAAAATATGCGTATATTATTACTGATTGGACAATTAATGCAAAATATATTGGATATATTTATTTTTCATATTCTACAGGGTATCTTCTCGGAAGTATCCCTTACTTATTCTCTCGCCTTTTCGCTGTCCAGAATCGATATTTTTCGTTTTGCCCGAGAACCCATTGCCAACTGCAACTTTTCGCAATTGTTTTTTGAGGCAACTAATGAAAACTGTAAATTGCAAACAACGTTTTGTGCTTTTCAATGCATTTGGCGCGGACAGCTTGCTGGAACTTAATAGTTGGGCATATCATATTTCCGCATATGGACCGGAATTTGTAGTGAGAATTAAGGAAATTGAATAACTTTTGGTTGCATGTAAATATGCCTATGTACCAGATGAAATTACCCGGCGTCGCCCAGGTCAAATGAATAATGTATAACTTGCGGCAACTTCAGATATATAAAGCCGCCAAAATGTTCTCCAAATGCTCATAATTGATGGGAAGCATACCAAAAAAAATTCTTTTCCTTTTTGTTATTTGTTTTAAAATTTATTTTTATCGCTCCTAAAGAAAAATAAGTAATAGCAAATATACAAATTGAAAGCTGCTGCTGAATTTGAACCAACCACTTCTCTTTTTTGGCTGCTTTGTTCTTGATGTGTTTCACACAAACATTGACCAAGAATGGCGCCTTCTTGGAGTTCGAATTTTCTAAAACTCTTAGAACTGACTTTAGCTTCCTAGTCCTTATGGTTGGACTGTGCGTTGATTATCATTCAGTCGGTCAGGATAAACTCATTTTCAAAAGTAAAGCTTAAATGCTTTTAAATTTGTTGAATATTATTTCTAACTATTTAATTGAAGCTTTCAATTAAAAGCCAACTAAATGCCTTGTAACTTAACTAACACAGCAACTGACCTGATACCTAAGAAAAAGAGGGAGAAATTTCTGTTGGACTTGAGTCTGTGTGTGTGTGTTTAATCCTGTCTAAAAAAGAGACAAAAACAAATAACAAATGCAGCCTCCTCAAAAGTCGAATGGCAGCAGGCAGCTAGCCCCAAAAACCTCTGAATGAAAGCAATGTAAGCGAAATCGCAGCGCACAGCTCCCACTCCGACATATCCACCCACAAACACACACACACACATACAGCCAAACAGGCGAAAATGTCACTGCAGCTCACTCTGGACATTTTTCTCAGTTTCTCTATTCCTCTCTCTCGCTCTCATTACCGCTATCTCTCTCACTCTCTCTTGTCGCTGTCAACAGCTGCCTTGAGGCAGCCGAGCACATTGTGAAAAACTTTCGATTCTTCAGTTGCTGTTGCAGCGTTCTTTTTTTCTAGCTTAAGCGCTGGGAGGGTCGTCGTGAGGGGGGGGGAAGAGATTTTGTGGGTAGCTGCTGTTGGAACTGGGCATAAAATCTTGTAAAAACTTATTGTTCCATTTCCTTTCACTTTATGCAAATTTAACAGCGCATTATTCTGCACACACACATAAGCGTTGCATGGTAAATACGCACACATGTATATACAGTATTTATACAATATAATTTCCAGATTGAGAGCGTCTAACGTCATATTTAAAATATTGGTTGAAACGCGAAATCCATTTTGATGTTAATTTAAGCCAATTTCTAAAAGATTTGTTAAACATATACGACATGAAATTATATTAAAAGAATGTAAATGCTGATATATTAATGAAAGATTAAATAATTTGTTAACTGATAAACTGAAGAAAAACATTGCTTCTGATATAAATTGCAACTGGAACCGAGTGCATTTGATATGTGAAATGTAGAGAGTAAGCATATAGAATGAAAGCGTCTGAGACTTGATATAACATATTGACTTAAACTGAATTCAATTTTGAAAGTCTTTTCAATTTAAAAACCATAAAAAATTCATTTTTAGCTAAAGTTTTAAAATTTGTTAAAAGTATTGAGTCGCAACTGATTAAAATATCCGAGAGCTCTTATTTACGAGCCATCACTGTACTTTCATTTGCATATTGCATTCAACATTCTCACCAGCTTCCAACAATCCCAAACCGCCCCATCCTCTCCCCACCTCCCCTCATCCTGCATTGTTCTGCACTTGGCATACAGTTGCAAGTGGATGTGCATCGCTGTGTGGCATACGACTGATTTGATTGATTTAATGACAACCCCCACGATGTTATCGATGCTGGGCTGTGGGGCATTGGGGGTTGAGCGGTCTTAATGCCCAAATGTTGCCAAAGGTGAAGGTCAACTTTGGCTTAAGCGTTGCTCCAACTTAATCTAAGTGACGACTAATCCACAAAATCTGTCATAAATTTCGCACTCTCACTGAACCACTGAGGCAGCTCAGTTCAGGGGCCACTTAGCCGGACTAACCGGATAACAAACAGCATGCGAGTATTAAACCAACACACACTCAAACCCACTTCCCTCTGAAGCCCACCAGCGTCCCTCTGCTGTCAATTTGAATGCATTTTGCTCTTTCACGTTTAACACGCGCGTTTTCTTTGTGCAATTTACTCGCTGACGACGGATGAAGCACGCAAGGCGTCGCGCCTCTTTGCTTTCCTCCCTGATCCGTTGCCTAGTTACTTCTGAAACGCCCCTGAACTCTTGTCAGGATTTACCATGTGCCATGTACTATGTGCGTGTGTGAATCAATGTGTGTGCCACATGCGCAAAATATTACTGCGTAGTTTACAGCTGCTTTTGCCAACCAACCCAGAGCAACCCCTTGTCCCTTCCAGCCCCAAGCCAGAAGCCAATGCCAATTTCTTGAGACATGCTTCAAGTACGCAGCTTGTCGACCAAATAAACAGTGCGCAATTTGTAGCGAGTTTGTTTGTTTGGCTCCTAAACACAAACCTCTCCAAGCTAACAATAACAAGGAGATAAAACCGCTCGCGAATTAATCACAAATTCATTTCGCTTCTTTCCATATCGATATTTCCAGGAAAAGTCCCGGCCGCAGGACTAAAAAAAAGCTGGACTGATTTTCCTTTTATTATTAAAATAATAGATTTTATTCTCATCAGATAATATTTTCTTTAATAATCAAACAGATAAAACATTCTTCTTTTTGTCAATTTGCTTCTTCTGAAAATATGAAAAAATGGCATGCTAAATGTGAGGGTTTCTTTCTTTAAATAATTTGCTTGCTTAATGCCGGCTTGTATATCACAAAATCTCGTGTTCAATAACAACTTAATCCACAACATGCAAGAAGAATTACCTAATGAATTCCTTAAAGGCAATTTTAACGCTCAAAATAAAATCAGATGACAAATTATATGAATTAGATCTTGCAAAAATTATTTAAGTTTAATACTACTACAATTTAATTGTATATTATAATTTTATGACTGGCAAACAAAATACTATGTAAAATATCATCGAAACATTTAAATTTGAACTTATAATATTACAAATTATTTTAAGCAACTGCAACTGAAAACTCGGTCACTTTTTAAGGATTTTTGCGTTTTTCTAGGTGCAGAAGAAACTTTTAACGTAACATGTCAGAATTTGCAAGATGCATCTAAAAGCATACTCAAAATATTGTCATTAAAACAAACAACCCATGAAAAATTACTTAAAACACTTTCCTTGTTTTTCCTTTACATAGAAAACGTACGACCGCGCGTAGCCCTAGAATAGATTAAACGCAATAATATTAGTAAATCACAATAAATACATATATATGTTAAAATGACTATAAGTATGTATATATACAGAATATAGTTACTTCCCCCAGCTCAGAGTTCCACTCTGTCAAAGGGCTGCCATGCGATGCGTAAAGATCTTTCTAAAGGCAACTGGCAAAAAAATAGCGGGCAACATTTGATAAGCAATTGAACAAAATGCTGATTTTCCATTGACGTTTTCACTGACAACAACAACAGCAACAACAATCAAAATAATAATAGAAATAGCAGCAGCAACAAATAAAAAGAACACGAATGCGCAACAGAAAGCGCAATCAAATCAAAATCAAGCAATGAAAATATATTCATTAAATATTTGCCAGCCCCTCCCACCGCCAACGCCTATCACCCAACAACGTCAAGGGAAATGAGTGAAATAATAACAAGAAAACGAAACTGAAGAAGCGCCATAACAAAACAGACACTTGAAAATAGGTGTGGACAATGTGTTTGGTCAGGAAATGGTGGAAGGTGGGGTCCTTATATATGTATGAAAGCCAAAGTTGACAGTTGGCAAAAGTTTTAGGCAGTTGCAATATTTATATATCGATTATGCATGGAAAATCAATAGACACGCGCCAAGCACACACCAAGCGAGCGAGAGAGAGACCAGTAGATAGAGAGAAGTAGAGAAAGAGAGAGCGAGTGCGCGGTTGGTAAGAGAAATAGATGGATGGCCCATGGCTGACTGGCTGACTAGCTGGCTGGGTGGTTGGGTGGCTTGGTCATTAGCGACGCCAACGTAAACTGACGACACTGAACGGTGACGGCTAAAAGAAAATCTTGAAAATGCCCTGCCGCACACTCTGCAACAACAACAACAATAACAAACATGTCTCATTATTCTGTTTTGCTTCTACCATGCCCTATTATTTATTTCTTTTTTTGTGACTATTTTGTTGGCTAATAAAGTCATAAGGTCAGACGTTCATAGAGAGAAAAACAACTGTACAACATGCACGCATTAGACGACAAATTGTTGACCGCGTTCTCTCCCAATGGACAAGTCAACCAGCCAGCCAGATAGTCGGTACAACAACCAACGAGCCAGTCAGGTTAGTCATTATAGCCCTATATATCCAGCAAGCGTGTAACTGAGGATGAGTATTACGTATAATTTGCCTGAACTCTTTGCAGAGAATTAAGAACTTTATCATTATATACTCTACTTACTTTTAAATTGCTTAGGCACAAATTCTGCGTACAAACTGTCTTAACGGCCGCCTCTAGTGGCGGACTTCTCTTAAATCATGAATCAGGCCATACCCATTCCCCCCCTCTGTTAAGACACTCCTCCAAAGAGTGCTCAAGAGAGTTTTCACAGTAGTATACAGTTTTCACTCAGTAATTATAACAGATTTTCCATATTATTTTCAATCCACTCCCATGATCGGAAATTGAGCGGAATTCTGTTGTTTGATAAATCTTATTTCTCACCCGATGCGCTTCAAACATACTTTCAATAGATCTATATTCAACTTCATTGAACAAATGTTTAACACTAGTCGGAAAATTCACCGACCTGGATGACATTATAATTATTTTCGTCCGATCATTTTTGGTACAGGGTATTTAGTTGTCTGTCATAATAATGATGATAATGTGCTTAACTTGTGTTTTTGTTATATGATTTTGGGATTGTCCCAAAGCAACATTAATGTTGTTTCCTTTTTGGTGTTGGTTTCCTTTAATGTATGTGTGTGTGTGTTGGTGTGTGGAAATAACATAATAATTGTAGCTCCGCCCCTCTGTTCCCCGTAATAGTACTCGTAATTGTGTCCCCAGCTGTCGCTGGTGGTTCCGTTAACTTTGTTGGTTTCCTTTTCATTTTCATTTCACTTATATTAAAACTACGGCTAAATGTTTGTGTGCGTATGTGTGTGTGGCGTGTGTGTGTGTGTATGCAAACCACGCCCACTTTATATTAAAATTAATTACATAAATTCTGTGTAAAATGCATTTAATATTTTGCAAACATTTACGATCGTCTCTCTCGCTCGCTCGCTCTTTCTCTTTCTGACGCAACACATACATGTGCACTCTATAATTTTACATGTACATATATATATTCTCATAGAATCTATAGGCGCTTGCCATATGAGAATCCTTACAATGGCCACACAACAACTATGCAAACTCAGCTGCAACATTTCTAACAACTAGCTGCTGATTGCTTTGTGAACGGTCGTGCGGGGTGAGGGGCTACTCTACAGTTCCGGCCAGCACTGGAACTTGGTCGTTTGTCAATGCGAATCGAGCCGCCCACCCGGGGCATTTCGACATTTCCATTTTCCAATCCCAACAGCTGTCGTCGGCAGTCAAGTCGATCGCATTTTAAGTCTATGTCACTCATACGCCCTGTGGCCCAGTCGGGGAACTGCAACTAGCTCTCTCTCTCTTTCTCTCTCTGTGTGTGTTTATGTATTTGTGGTGTGTGCATTCATTTGGCATGTTTAACAAGTTTCCACCGGGCATTTGCGGGTTTTTCTCTCACTTGCATGTCAAATCGAAATACGAATGTGCGTTAACATTACAAAGACAAAGATAAATGCAAATGAGTATATTCCTTAAGCTAGGGTGGAACTTAAAAGAACTGACATATATTTTTAAGTGCCTTTATATTAATTCAATCGCTTAAAATCGGGAATTGTAGAGTTTGCTTTGTGTATTCGTAATCCCTATGCTTTCTTGTTTCTCTCTCCCTCTCTCTCCGTGTTGGAAAACTATCTCTGGAAATCAGCTTAAATTTACTAGATATCATAGGTACATATATACCAGGTCCGTGTTTAATTCATAGCCAACCCTAAAAAATACAAATTTAAGACTGTTTTATATAAGATGGAAGAATTCTATCAATAGTTGGCTGGGCAAGCTTCATCCTTAAAATACAATGAACGTGCTAAGAGTAAAATTTGTAAATTAAAACTTTACACAATTCAATGATTTCGAATAATTCACGAGCATGACCGAAAATCGGGTAGAAGATGAGGTTTGCTACGTATTTAGCTTTTTTTCTGATCCGCTACAAGCTAGTTTTCGAAGATCTATGGGATTCTTCACAAAATAATGCGAGGAATTGAATATAAATTGAATTGTATAGTTTTCACATGACTTATAATCAAATAGTTTATAGTTGCTCTAATTCAATTTAGAAATTAGTTTTTGCCTTATTCGCCCATTAATTCAATTTAAACAGTTTTGAACACACACAAGACATTCTACATGCTAGTTGGATATACAGTCAGACAGGCAAACGTGACCATTTCCAGTTCAAAGCGTCTATCAATGTTTAATATAGCTCCCATATGCCGATATGGCATATAGGGTCTATTGAACCCTCATTAACTGAAGAATTGAGAAAGGAAAACCAGCTCGCTTTTATTGCTATTTTGCGTTTGTAAATTCCGCTAGCTTTAGCTTTTCTGCTTCTTCTATTTCAAGTTAAATGGAATCAACGCAATGACAAATTCAATTTGCAAACTGCAAATTATAAACGACTCGCAAAAGTTGACTTGACTGCGGCAACGAGTCGGGCATTTGATGTACAGTGAAAACTCTAACGAGCTGACACTCGCAACTCGAGTTAAAGGAGATATCGAAGAAGTACTCAATATATGTATTTCCTATATTCCTAAAATAAATAATAATCGATTTGCAGAGCTTCAAAGAGGCAGAAGAAGTAAGGGAAATGACTCGGACTAAAATATTGCATCGTCTGTCCATTCGTAACGTTTTTACTGTATTTCCGAGTTTCCAAACCATTTGCGGTTATGAAGCAAAATGGTGTTAGAGGCAACCGTCCATCTATCAAGCAAAGAGCATAATTTACATGTGGCCAACTGGTGCACCAAACCAGTCACAGTTGATTGGATCATTTGTCAGCTGAAAGGGGAAGAGTAAAAGCCACCATTTGGTTTTTGTACAATTAGCAACGCGAGTGAATGGCACCTGAAATCAGAGTTTGGCCAATGTCGTGGCTGTTATCTAGCTAAAGATATGACAGAGAGAAGCGCCACAATGTTGATAAGATAAGCTTAAAAACAAATTCAACAAAAATGTAAAGAAAAAACTATTGTTATATGACATTTCTTGGCATTTGGCTCGACAATTTCACTCTTTTTTTTTTTTTAAATTTTGAATTTTTTATTTTAATCTAAGACTGTGTAATTTAATGCTCTTCTTCTTCTTCTATCAATTGCAGTGCATGTATTGCCAAAAAAAAAATAGAGAAAAAACGTTTAAACTAAAAGAAAAATCAGGCTAAAACAAACTAGCGCACACACACACACGCTCCTACATACACACACATTCGCCCACACAGAGAGCAAGCCGAGCGTGAGAGCGAGCGAGAATATGTGAACAGTTTTCATAAACAGCAAATTCTCCAATAGTCTCTCTCTCACACGAAAACGAATTGATGTGCCATTCAGAGCAGCAAGCAACATAGAAGCTAAGCGAGTATTACAACAATCACAAAAACAACAACAACAGCAACCACAATAAGGCGCATATAGTAAATGCAACAATCCCTCCATTAAACAACAACAAGAACAGCAGCAAAACAAAACGAAACAACACACAAATAATACACAGGTGAGTAGTGGAATTTTCACGTTTAAAAAGCTATTCTTAACTGACCGAGTTTTTCATTGTATTTAAAATCACTTTTCCATCATTTTTTCAATCCGAGCGGGGATGTTTTATCAATGCTTAAGCACGTTAAGAATTTTTACGTACATAGATCTCTGAGTTTGAAGAGCATCGAACCTAAAACAAGAGAATTATATTGAAGAGTTTTTCGCTCATTTTCAAAAAGTCAACTTGTTTATCCAAAAAATAGGGTTTAAGGTATTCATTGATTTAATTCGTCTGGCTTCATTCAAAGTTAGTAAAACATAAAAATCTGTAGCTTTTTATCTAGATGAAAAAAGGTTTAAAGTCGTTTAGGCATTAGCTTTACAATTAGCCGCTCGTTTTCCACTCAGGTAGGTTGACTTAAAAAAATTATGGAGCAAGTCCCAATAAATGTATTGTTGAAAATGATTTGATTTGAATGTCATCCATGTCCACTTTGCGACATTTTCTCGTCTGAGTTTTCACTTACGGCATCAAAGTTAACTATTGTACGATATACAGCTTTGTTGCTCTTACGGTTTGGGCTGTGCTTTGATCATCAATCCGAAAATGAATCAGTCAATTTATTAATCGGTCTATGAAACAGTCAAATAATCAGTCAGTCAATCCTTCAATCACTCGGTCAATAATTAGTGAAACACTTATTTATATTCAGTCAGTGAATGAGTCAGTTAATCAATAAGTCAACTTATTAATACTCCTTTTTCTTTTGCAGTGTAACGAATTTAAAACAACAAGAACAACACGCAATTAATAGGCAACAAGTTGCAAGCAGCAACAAGCTTTGGAAAGAACCTTCTTCGTAGCCAGGCGTAACGCGTGTTAGATGCCAAGATAAGTCGCTATCGCTTTAATACCGCCATCAACATAACCCAACAACTACAGCAACAGCAGCAACAACAACAACAGGAACAGCAACAGCATAAGGAAGCGCCCAGAATACCGTTAAGCAGCAACCGTGCGGTACGTGCCACAAACAATTGCAAGACGCCAAACTCAACGGCAAAAGTCGCCAACATAACACATAAAATATTTGGCTGGCTACGCAAGACGCGCAACAAAAAACCAGTCGCGATCCTCAGCAGCGATTTCGACGAAGACGGCGACGAGGGCGTGGGTGTGGGCGTGTGCGTGGTGGGCGCATCTGGTGCAGCCGGCGGGGCGTTGGACGATCAAATTTCTACATTGGCAAGCGTTGGAATCAAAGCCGGCAAGCTGAATACCACACAGTCAGCCACGGAGACCGCCATCGATACAAACGAACCCAAATCTGAAAAGATGTCATCGGGCACGTTTGTAGATCGAATCGACCCGTTCGCCAAACGTTCGCTAAAAAAGAAGAGTAAAAAAAGTCAAGGTTCCTCGCGCTACAGAAACTCTCAGGATGTTGAGCTGCAGCAATTGCCGCCACTAAAAGGTAGCTCAACTAAATGCAAACAATAATGATAAATATAATATAATAATATATATATCTCTATATATAAAACTGTTTGTCCTGACTGACTGACTGACTGACTGACTGACTGACTGACTGACTGACTGACTGACTGACTGACTGACTGACTGACTGACTGACTGATTGGTGATCAACGCACAGCCCAAACCGTAAGAGCTAGGAAGCTGAAATTTTCACTGTAGTTACCTTATGTGATGTAGGTGCACGTTAAGACGGGGTTTCGCGAAATTCCACTCGCAAGTGTGGAAAAATCGCGAAAAACGTTTGTATGTAACTTTTTTGTTTACCATCCGATCGGCCCCAAACTTATTTTCAAAGATCTTTGTTCAAATTCATTTGAGGGGTGTTTCGCACTTTTCGGAAAACCCATTCCTCCTTGGTGGAAATGGAGGTCAAAGATTTGGTGGGTGACGTTTCGCGCTCAAATTCATTTCCAGAGATCTATATGAAAAATCATTTGAGACGTGTTTCTCACTTTTCGCAGAATTCAAACTTCTTCGGGGGGAATGCGATTTAAAGATTTTTTGGGCGGCGTTTTAAGTTGTGTCCGATTTGCTTCAAACTTATTTTTAAAGCTCTTCATAAGAACTTAATAAGTACGTATTTCAGCGATTTGGAAAATTCCACCCGCAACAGTGGTAAATTGGCGGAAAAAGGTTGTTTGAAAGTTTTTTGTTTACCATCCGATCGGCCCCAAATTCATGTTTAAATATCTTTGTTTAAATTCATTTAAGGGGTGTTTCACACTTTTTAAAAAATCCATTCCTCATTGGTGGAAATGGAGGTCAAAGATTTGGTGGGTGACGTTTCGCACTCAAATTCATTTCCTGAGATCTATTAAAAAAATCATTTGTGACGTGTTTCACACTTTTCGCAGAATTCAAACTTCTTCGTGGGGAATGCGATTTAAAGATTTTTTGTGCGAAGTTTTAAGTTGTGTCCGATTTGCTTCAAACTTATTTTCAAAGCTCGCAATAAGAACTTAATGAATACGTATTTGGACGATTTGGAAAATTCCACCCGCAACAGTGGTAAATTGGCGGAAAACGGTTGTATGAAAGTTTTTTGTTTACCATCCGATCGGCCCCAAACTAATTTTCAAAGATCTATATTTAAATTCATTTGGGGGTTGTTTCATACTTTTTGAAAAATCCATCCCTCCTTGGTGCAAATGGGGGTGTTCAAATTTATTTCCAAAGATCTATAAGAAAAATCATTAGAGACGTGTTTCACATTTATCGCAAAATCTAAACTCCTTCGGTGGAAAATGCATTTTTAAGATTTTTTGGTGAATTTTAAGAGTTTTCCGATTTGCATAAAAGTTATTTGATTCCCGTCCGATCAGTTTTAAAATTATTTTCAAAGCTTTTTTGATTTTATAACATACGTGCCACGGGCAAGGCCGGGTTATACCCGCTAGTATTATATATATTAATCATTTCCCACTCTCCCTCTCTCTTTTCTCCATCTACAGCCGATTGCTCGAGCCTGGAACAGGAGGAGCTGTTTATACGGAAACTACGTCAGTGCTGCGTATCATTTGACTTTATGGATCCTGTAACGGACTTAAAGGGCAAGGAAATCAAACGAGCTGCTCTCAATGATCTATCCACCTATATAACACATGGACGCGGCGTGCTTACGGAACCGGTATATCCCGAGATAATACGCATGGTAAGTAGCTCAATATTATGAATGTGCTCAAAAAAGAGTGTGTTATCAAATTGGAATCAACGAGATGATAAATAACTGGTTCCAAACCAAGCATTATTTATAGATATTGTTTTGAAACTAAAATAAAGAAAGAAAGAATGATCCCATATTAACTTTTGAAGAGAAAAGTAATTATATTCTTGTTATAGCCCACAAAATAGCTGAAATTTTGGTATAATAACATCATGCTAATGTGTGTAGCAGCCAGATAAAGACATCTCAGACCCTATATATATAATATATAATTCCGTGTTGATCTAGCCATGTACACCTTACTCTATTACCGCATCGAATTTAGAGACTTTGTTATTTCTATTTTTCTAAGCATATATCATATCTCAAGTTTTAGAAGCTAGTGAGCAAATTTACGCCTGGTTTTCGTAGCATAGAGGATCGGGAATATTTTACTCTTTCCATACATCAGCTTTAATAAAAATGAAAAGAGAAGGAAATGTATTTTGTAAGAAATAGAATTTTTGTTTATTTTTCATTCATTAGCAATAAAAGTTTCAGAATATTCGAAAATTAAATGCAAAAGTTATTTAAGAATCAAACTTTCACGGTGCGAAACGAGAAGAAGATGCATATTGAGCGCAGCAGGCGGCACATATGTTTATGTGGGAATATAAGTAAATGCTAATGAATAACACGCCAATTCGAAGTTGGGTATTAAGTGGATCGTTGCTGTTTTTTCTCTGCAAAAAATCTATATATCTCTTTTCTTTAATTTTTCTTTTAGATTTCGTGCAATTTATTTCGCACATTGCCGCCCAGTGAAAATCCCGATTTTGATCCGGAAGAGGACGATCCAACACTGGAGGCATCGTGGCCCCATTTGCAACTGGTCTATGAGGTGTTTTTGCGCTTTCTGGAATCCCAAGATTTTCAGGCGACCATTGGGAAACGTGTGATCGACCAGAAGTTTGTGCTGCAGGTGAGTTTCCACATATTTTTGCCAACCGGAATTTCTAATTTTTAAACAATTGATACACTTGACACAGCTATTGGAACTGTTCGATTCGGAGGATCCGCGCGAGCGTGACTTTCTAAAGACGGTCTTGCATCGCATCTATGGGAAATTCCTAGGCTTACGAGCTTTTATACGAAAACAGATCAATAACATATTCTTGAAGTTCATCTATGAAACGGAGCACTTCAATGGCGTTGGCGAGCTGCTCGAGATACTTGGCAGGTAAGCTATAACCTAATATACTACTGTTTACATTGTAATTAATTAACTCACTTTCCGAATTACAGCATCATAAATGGATTTGCCTTGCCATTGAAGGCGGAACATAAACAATTTTTGGTTAAGGTTCTGTTGCCGCTGCACAAAGTCAAATGCCTATCGCTCTATCATGCTCAGCTGGCTTATTGCATTGTACAATTCCTAGAGAAGGATCCATTCCTCACCGAACCGGTGGTGCGTGGTCTGCTCAAATTCTGGCCCAAAACGTGCTCCCAAAAGGAGGTCATGTTTCTAGGTGAAATTGAGGAGATATTGGATGTGATTGATCCGCCGCAATTCGTCAAAATACAGGAGCCGCTGTTCCGCCAGATAGCCAAATGCGTATCGAGTCCACATTTTCAGGTGAAGAACTAAACGATTAACTTGATATACTGGTTGTACTAAATATATGCAATTTTAAATATCGTATCAGGTTGCTGAACGTGCTCTATATTTGTGGAACAATGAATATGCCATGTCGCTTATTGAGGAGAACAATGCTGTTATAATGCCCATCATGTTCCCGGCGCTCTATCGCATCAGCAAGGAGCATTGGAATCAAACCATTGTCGCGCTTGTGTACAATGTATTGAAAACGTTTATGGAAATGAATTCAAAGCTCTTCGATGAGCTAACATCCAGCTATAAGGCGGAAAGGCAAAAGTGGGTGCTGGTATTTTGACTAATAATAATAAGATTGGCTAATTGATACAAATGATTTGATTGCAGGGAAAAGAAGCGTGAACGCGATCGCGAGGAGCTGTGGAAGAAGCTGCACGAACTCGAATCAAATCGTTCCAGCGGGCGCGCCGCAGGCGGCAGCGCTGCAACAGCAGCGAACAGCGCAACGGCAGCTGCGGCGGCGGCTTCGGCGTCGTCGTCGTCACTTCAGCCGCCAAATATAGCTAGCGGCGGCTCAATGAACTCTCATCAGCAACAGTCGAATAACAGCAGCAGCGGCAGCCTATCCAGTGGCGGCGTTGTTGGTGGTGACAATAATCCTGCGACAGCAAATTCAAAACTAAAACCCGAAAAAGCAGACAACTAAACAGATGCAACGCAAAGCGCGCTGGAAACTAACAATAAACAACAGCAACAACAACCACAACAGTTAAATGCAAGAAGAACACGAACAACAACACATAAAATGTCAGCCGGCTCACGCACACACCGAAATCCACACACACAAACACACACACACACAAATGAACACACATACACACACACACACTCTCATCTATATATAAAATTAAAATCAAAGAAATGAATAAGAATGAAATTTGTTGAGCTGGCGATAAATAGTTATAAACAAAATGCAGCTTATGCTAAAACTTAATAAATATGAAAACTAAATTGTATACTCGTTTAACAAGACACCAAAACCAAGTAGCTGCAGGAGTGGCAGGATCAGCAGCAGGGCGTGGCTAAACTAAATGCTTGAGGAGCGCAGCAAGAAAATTCTATAAAATATAATATAAAAAAACTACTTACACACAACCAACACACACACACATATTATAAATACATATAAATATATATATATATTACAAGAGCAAGATAAAATATATTATTAATTAGGTTTAAGTTAAACAAAGAAAAGAAATTGAATAAAGCGTAAAAGTGTTAGTAAGTGAAACAAGAAATAGCAGAGCGCGAGCCCAATGTTCGATGATTGTTAAGAACACGCATTGAAATATTATAAAGAAACTAAATAAAATATATACTAGACGTGTTGCTAGCCTATGCTAGCCTAAAACAGCTGCCCAAAAATACACACATACACACACACACACTAACACTCTAGTTAACGTTTTCTATTGCCCGCGCTCCCCTGCACAAGCATTATAAATGTGTATAAACAAATACTATCTAAATATATATTTTATTTCGGAACAATTCGAAAATAGAGCAGTCTCTGGTATGTGTCCAACTTTCAGCTTATATATATGTATATATATATATATATAGGCAAAACCCACTGATAACTTCAATTGTATATATGCGTAGGCATGCATGCATACACATATATATATATATAAATACATATAGTTGTATGTGTGCATGTATGTCTATATATATATATATACATATATATATAATATATATATGTAGAAATACGAAGCGACTATGCAAACTTTGTTACTTATATTTAAGTGTTGCACATGCCGTCAAAAAGTTTCAACAAAAATTTAGAAAAACTGTTCCAAAAACGATTTCGATAACTGGCAGATAACGCGGAGATCTATATATATATATATATGGTATATATATAAGTAAAGTAATAATTAGCAACATTCATCAGAAGAGACAAAATAATATAAATAAAAACTGAAAAACTTATATATATATATATATATACATATAAAAACACATAAAATGCTGATCTATATAGAAATGCAAGTATATATATATATATATAGATATATATGTAATGTATGTGTCTATGTATGTGTGACAAAAAAGCTTCTCTTAAGTTAAAGTTTAAAATAAATGAGTTGCGTTTGCATAGCATAATATGATCAAGGGGAAATTCGAAATAAAAATGAGAGATGATATTTGCATTGTATAAAAAGTTGTAAGCTAAAGAACCGAAGTAAACATTAAAGTAAAGTCGATAGTCTCTAGTTTAACTAATGGAACGTTACGTTAAGGTAGGCACCACACATACACACACACACACATACACACACACACACACATACACAGACACACCACAATCTCTCAAACAAACATTTTCACGTTTCACAGTTATCAAGCGTTAAACAATACAATGAATATGCCTAGGAACGCGGCACATCAAACAAAAAGGAAGTTAAATCAATTCTCTACGAAACGTCTTTCTTTCAGCTAAATTAAAAAACTACTTTTTCTTTCAAAAGTCTTCAACAAAATGCGCACAACTTCCGAATAATTCAACTGGGCAAAGTTTTCAATGTAAATATTGTATGAATAAAATACAAAATCATATAAAAAAAAAATTTTTTTGGGCCGCTGCTCTAATAAACAAAACAACAACTCATCTATCCAAGCAAAATCGATGCAAACTCACACACGCACACACTTAGGCGCACTCTCATACTAACAAAATATCATAATCAACGGAATATTATATTAAACATAAAACAAAAAAAAAAGGTATAAAATAATAATAATATATATGTATGCGACATATGTATGTATGTTTGTTCATTCAACTCACGCCCATTACAAAAAAAGTATCTAAGCATGCATAATCCAAAAGTTAATAAAGAAATAAATAAATTAAAGATACGATACATACCTACATACGAACATATATATAAATTATATATAAAATTGTGTCTGTGAAACGTAAGTTATTATATGCATACATATGAACGAGGTAAACAAAAACAAAAACAAAAAACAAATGCAGCGTTAAAAAAACATGAGTTATTATAATTAAATATGTTTGTAAACGTCAGAAATATGCAAAAAAAACAAAAGCAAACGAGTAAAAGAAAAAGAAAAGTAAGCAAAATAAAAACGTGTTAACCATCACGCCAACTTAAACTAAAATGTCATCTAGTAAAACGAATTAAAGAAAACTTAAAATATATATATATACATACATATATATGAGAAGCAGAATCTATGGCCTAAATTCTAAGCAAAGTGTGTATGAAAGTTTTGCATCTTTATATTAGAGTGTAATTAAAATGAATAATTGACAAAAACAAATTGAATATGAACAATATGGAACAACAAAAGGAAAACAAATAATACATTTAAAAAGCAATAGACTCTCTCTCAAACATGATAATTGGAATGTTTTCTGTTTTGCATTGTTTTTCGTTGATGCGGAACTGCCATTAAAAAAAAAGAGAACAAGTTGATTCGGTTAGGCAACTAGCGCTGTGGCAGAGTATTTGATAGGCGCATTTCGGGGCTACACATTCGAAGTAATAAACATGATGGAAAACCCAAAAAAAATAAAAACAAAATTGTTCTATAAAAAGAAAACAGCAATTACTCTAGCCGTTACTTTGCTATGTGCCCCCAGCCCCCTCTCTACGGCCCACACTAGAGTAAAGAGAAAACCATTAGAAATTACACTCAACTTGCGCCCTCTCTAGTTAATGTTTAAATTCACATAGAAATGCCAATCCAGTGAAAGAAAATAACTAAAATATAGAAACTGTAAAAAAGAAAAAGCGAAAATGTTAAAAATGCCTAATATATATATATATATATATATATATATATATATATGTATGAGCAGATGAGGTCCTGTTTTAAAATTTTTTTTTGTGTTTGTGATGTTTACTATTTTTTGTTGCACATTGAGTTAATGTTTAGCCTGCTTTTCAATTTACATTTGTAACTTTAACTATAGTTTTATGTATTTATATGTATAAATAAAAAACAAAAAAAAAGCAAAAAAACAAAAGGAAGCATGTTGAAAAATAGCTGCATAAAAGCCAGCTAAAAGTATAAGCAAAACTCGTTAAGTACTTTTAGAGACAAAACTGTACTAATAATAATAAAAAAAAAAAACAAAATAATAAAGTCGCATTAATAACAAAAAACATCATATATATATAAAAATAAAAAAAACAACAATATAAGGCGCTTTAACAATATTAAAACATATTGCATAATTATAAAATGTGAAATATTTTCTTATGTTCTAGACTTGTAAAAACAAAACAAAAAACAAAAATAATAATGAACCTAACGTATGATATCGTATGTGCGACTAGAGCGAAACTTTATTTTTGAGTTTTGGTTCGTTGTGCTAGGTTTTCCGAAATTCTTGAGTTATTTTTCTTTGGCACACGAGCGCTATGTTTTAGACATAACAACTAAATAAAATCTTATGCTGAGTATAAAAATAAATACATTATAATTACACTAAAAACAAACAGCAACAAAAACAAGCGAAAAACAACAAAAAAAAAACAAATTATAAAAAATAAATGAAAATGAATATATATAAAGAAAGAAATTGTTTAGTTTGTTGCTTTTGGCAAGCATATCAAGCAGTCGGGCAAGCAGTTTAAATTACGGCAACAGGAAATGCGTACAGGAGCAAAAGAGAGGCAAATAGATCAATCCATGCAACAGTTAAAAAAAATGATTTGTTATAGAAATGGCATATGCGTTTGTATTGGCAATTAAATTATATGGCAATTAATACAGCAGCAAAGTCCGCTGCAATAAGTCGGCAGGATTATAGCAGGCGGTGCCAAGTGCTGGCGATACAAAGCAAGTACCTCAAGCAGTTAGAAAGCAGTTCAAATTTATGCACAAACAAAATGAGCTGCGAAGAGATCGAATACAAAAATTATAATGTCGACCGTATAGTAACAGCCAGCTCTTGACAGCAGCCGCAGATCCAATTTATAGCTAAAACTGTCAAATGCAATGAGTAGACGTGCATCATACAAAACAAGCAGTTCAATGGCAAACAGATCAATAGACTCTCAAAAGCCAAACATGTTACATGTATAAAACAGTCAGCTTTTGACAGCAGCAAAGCTCGCTGACATGAGCTTTTTGTTTTTGTCAGTGCAGCACAGCAGGGCTCCAATTGGACGTCAGTCTCAACGTCTCCGCTGCCAAATGCAGTCGCTAAACGCAGCAAGAAAAATCAATAGTGCATAATTAGAAAATTTATAATTAAAAGCAAAAGTGCATTTATTGTAAGAAATCTTAAAGGCCATGAAGTGGGAGAACTATTGTGATTTCGTCGCAGGCTGTTTTGGTGGTGAGTTTCTTCGATTTTTTTGTATTTGACCAGGGCGTAAATGACGCAATGCGGCAGCTAAAGCGGAGACACTTGTTGACGGATTGACGAGAACGGCAGCTACAGTGAAAGCTCAACTAAAGGACAGTTGCTGCAACCGCTGAAATCTTTAATTTCCAAAGATTAGACTAAAATTAAACAAAAAATCGCACTTCAAAATTATTGCAAAACAGTTTAAAAACAAACAAATGTGCTCAAATTTGTAAACGTTTTAGTAGTTTTGAACTGAGATTCAGCAGATTGTTTTTCCAGATATTAAGTCATTCCTTTGAGATCTCACTGGACTTTTGGCTGTTCGCTTAAGCGGGATTTTACTGTAGTAGCTGCATCAGCCATCAGCGACGTCACGGTCAAGTTCATGTGCAGGCGCCCCTGATCCGTGGCGTATTTTTGGGCATGAGATTTGAAATTCTTGGCAACTCAATGGGGCCGTCTAGTTCGCCTTAAATTTCTACAAGTTTTTATACCCCGAACCCATTGAAAATGTGTAAAAACGGTATAAGGGTTGGCATATATGTATGTAAGACAAAATCTCAGATTACATTAAAGTGGGTCTGTCCGATCTCAGAGACTATAAGCCGGACTAATATGGTATGAATGGTATGAGTTTTCTTGAAAGGTATACAAAGATTGGGAATATATTATTTTTCGGAAACATCCCGCCCATTTGCCATATTTGCCCACATTTCCTTGCACTATTTACGTCGTCGAATTTTCCTATAGATTTCCCTTAGTGTGTGGGTGGTGCAAGAGACAAGCCGTGTTTGTGTGTGTGTGTGTGTGTGTGTTTGTGTATGTATGTTAGAAAAAAGTTTAAGTTTGTGTAACCACAGCTCAGCGCGATGTACAGGGTATTTGCTAGTCGTGCACGCCTGACTAGTGCACTTTTATATGTTTCTAATTAAAATTCTTGTTTGTTTATTTTAATTGTGGTAAAACAGGTGCTTGCGGCGTGCTGGTGGCGCATCCGCTCGACACCATCAAGACCTGGCAACAGGCATCCAACACATCCGTCCTAAAGGCCGTGCAGCAAATCTACAGCCGCAACAATGGGGTAAGTGAGCGGGGGAGGTTGGGCAGTTGACAACGCTTTAAAGATCAACGGCTACTACAGGGGCATGCTCTTCCCCCTGATGTCGACGGGCGCCATTAACTCGATACTGTTCGGCATCTATGGCAACCATTTGCGGCAGCTGCGACGCGTCTGCCACAGCGACTACCAGCGCGAGCAGCTTGAGTATAAGAATATGTTCCTGGCTGGCTCTGTGGCCGGATTTGTCCAGTCCTTCATTGCGTGCCCCATGGAGCTGATCAAGATACGGCTGCAGACGCATTGCTGTAAGTTGGAAAAGTCATTGCAAATCGGAAACTCCGAAAATATAGCTAACGGGTTTGCAGCTAGGCGTGGAGAATAGTAAAGCACGTAATTGCTCAGCTTGTTCAAGATACATATATTAAAAAACAGAAAAACTCACTTTCAGTCCGATTCTTCCTACAGAGCTATGTGATATAGCTAACCAAATCGGCCGAGTCAATATATAATGCATTATCTAAAACAGAAAGACAGATTTCCGCAAAGTATATTGACGATAGATATACAATTAAGAAAAAAGTTTGCATAAAAACAGAGAGACATTTAGGCATTCAGCTCTTGCTACTGATCAAGAATATATGTATGTATATATGCTTGATAAGTTCTTCGCATTTTACAACAAGCAAGGGTATAATTTTGTTGCAGTGAACGAAAACTTTGGGCAGAAAATTCGCCAAGGCCCGTTTTTTTCGATCGAGCAAAATTTCACTTATACGACTTTAATTTAACGCTGGACTGTTTAACTGTAAAACATCAATTTAAATGTTTAAAAAAAACAGCTGATTTGGTTCACAGCGTTGCCATAATATTACATATGTGTGTATAGTGGCCTGTAGTGTTGGAGAATCTGCTAATGAAAAAGTAGTTACTTCAAATCACGGCTGATAGATTTATTCGAGGTTAGGTTTAAGGGGCACTAAGAAAACGTTTCTCATTTTTTATTTTTGAACAACTTATTTAACATAAAAATGTATTCGAAAATTTGACTTAAACTGAAGTGATAGCAAAAAAAAATATTAAACAATCAAAACACTCAATTTTTTTAAATTTATATAGAAACGTTTTCGAACATAAATGTTTATTTATCATTAAGATTTAAAAGATGAGTAATAAGCTTCAATAGCATGAGTAAACACATAAAATAATCTAAAAACAGAGAGTTTTCTGCTTGCGATTAAGCGGACGCCTGCTAGAAACTGTAAAAGTGCACTCAATCAAAATTTCACTGTATCTTTGCGCCTGTTTTTTTGCAGACTATAACGACTATATCTATGGACAGCGACGCACAGCCTATGGCACATTCAAGCGGATACTTAAGAATGATGGCATCTCGGGCTTATATCGTGGACTTGTGCCCATGATGTGTCGGTCAGTATAATATCTTAACAGTCCACCCCTGCACTAGCTCCAGGTTATTATTTTTATTTTTTTTACTACAGTGATGTGCTGCCCTATGGCATCTATATGCTGGTCTATCGTCAGGCGGCCAACTATATGGAGAAATCGGAGTTTGTGCGCAAGCGTCGAACCGATTCGAATGCCACAAATATAAATTTAATTATTACGACCTTTGCGGGCGCCTGGGCTGGAGTGTTATCTTGGGTCTGTGTAATACCCTTTGATGTGGTCAAGACCATAATGCAGGCGGATGAGAACCATAAATTTCGCGGCATAATGCATTGTGTACTGGTCAACTATAGGGCCTATGGGTGGCGCAGCATTTTTCGTGGCAGTTGGATGCTGTTGGCACGTGCGATACCTTTTAACGCGGCCACCTTTTTGGGTTATGAGTATTCGCTGGAGTTGTGTCATAGTTATTGAAATACAAATAAACAAAACGCAGTTTCGATTTAAAGTGAAATTTGTTCATATTTAAATTATATAACGGCTTTCTGTAAAACTTCCTTTGAATCTGGTGTAATTTAACATTGCACTTACGTTGTGAATTACTAACACGGCTGTGGTTAGTCTGGCAACGCTTATACTTGTGTGCTTAACTGCTAAGTAATATAAAGAATGCAGCCTACAATTATGCTATAAACATTCTATATCAATAAATAATATGCATATTGAAATATAACAAAACTTGAAATATTTATAATAAGCAACACATCTAAACATATCTAAATTAATATACTGTTTAATACAGCAATCCAAATATATGTTAAGAAATCCTGTTAACGCAAACTGCCTCCTGCAAACAGCGCACTTAACAGCTTTACAACACTGAACGGCAGCGCCTAACATTCACTAATCGATAAGAAATGTCATATCGATAAAACATGGCGTTAAGGTCGGATTACGAGGTGAGCTGAGCGCAAAAAATAATCCAAAATTTGTAATAAAACTAAGTTAATTAAGTCTAAATAAAAGTGCAAACAATTGTTAACATGCTATACGAACAGTGTGTACTCAAATATGTGCAAAAACCCAATTGAAATGTGGCAAAAATTAAGTTAGAAGTTTTCGAGGTGTGTGTTTTACGATACAACAACAACAGTGCTGAGCGGGCGTTTTTTTAATGGAAAAATCGAAACTCTTGAGTGGATGTGTGTGTGCGTGTGTGTGTGTTATTGGTTTTGTTGTTAGTGTACGCTGCAAGCCGACGCCCTTAGGCGACGCCAAGCTTATTAAATTGTTTATTGCTGTTGTTGCTGGTGCGTCAGTTAAGTGTAACTGAGTGCGGACAAGGCTGCGTTTTGTTCTAACCACTTGCCTCTAATCCTATTGGATGACTTAGCTGCCACGGCTTACCTTGTGCTGTTGTTGTTGTTGCTTTTGCTGGTGCTGGCTGCGCAGTTGGCAGCGCTGCGGGTACACCGCAAAAATGATCAATAAAATGAAGTTGGCCCAGTGTAGCTCTGCAGCTAGCTGGTTTTCTTTTTATTTTATTTTCTAATGCTTCAGATTGAGTTTTCGTCGTAAGGCGGCTGTGCGCGCTCTCGCTCTCTTGCTCGCTCTCTTTGTGGTGCACTCTCTTGCCCTGTTCTCGCTCAGGCTGCTCAGGTGTGGTGTTTGTTGGCAGTCGGATTGGGCCTCGTGTTCGATCGGCATAGCTCGAATCGCTTAATGTGCAGCGCACTCGCCGCATTCACCTGACCGCCACTTTCGCTTACATTTAGCTCGCACACTTTTATGTTCTACTTGTTGTTGTAACTCTGGCTCTGTTATCAGTTCATGCGCAAAGCTCAGCTGCTTCCAGTCGGACCGCACTTGTGCGCTTGCTCTGGTGCTCTGGCATATTTCGTGCATAATTTCGCCTGGAAATAAAAGCTTTCCATTTTATAGACTGGAATTTTTTTCGCTCTATGGCTTACATAACCGGTACATTTCCAGTGCTGCGGGCTGTTCTCTGTCCTCTGTCTTCTGTTGGCATGCAATCGAGATATATTGCCACGCCTCCCCACCTAACGCATGCCGACTGCCCTCGCTCCGCCCCGCCTAACCACAGATATCTTGGATTCACGTTTTACCATTGGAATCTCATGGCAGCCAGGCAAAAGAGACACTTAATCGAAACAACCCTCAAAGAGATTCTCTTCATTTTGTCTTCTTTTTATCATTTTTTCCGGAATTGGTGTCATTGGGGCGCGTCGTGCCCTGCTAATTATAAGCAAATGTATTTTGCTCTTACTTGTCTTTTGTAACGCTTTTGCCACGACGTTTCCTTTGCCCCTCGATGCCCATCTCTTTGATAATTATCAAAAAAGGTTTTGGTTTTCGCTGTAAGGCGAATTAATTACAACTCAGAAGTTAATTTGCTTCTCTCGAATGTTTTCTCTTCTCTATTACATGTATATATTTATATGTTACCATGCTTCTAAATCGCTTCTTAAGTATTTATGATGTACATCAAAGTCTTCTTTTTATTTTGGGACTCATAATTTTATTCATATGTACTTTATATTGATCAAGGATTTACGTTAGCCCAAGTTCTTGTACCAAATCCAGGTAACCTTCAGTGGCTTTACAGAAATTGAGTTAGTATTACCCGGCTTTGCCCGGCGCATTAATTTGCACTAAATTTAAAATTACTATTTCCCTAAATATATTATTATTAATAGATTTGAATATGTGCTTAAAGGATACCCATTTCCCAGGGAGCTGGATTATTCGATATTAAGCACGTTGAAAATGAGTTGGAACACGATCGAATGAAAAGGTTCAAGCCACAATTTTTCACATATTTTTCGCACTTGCGGGAGGAATGTTCCATAACTTCGTGTTATATAACAAAAAATAACTACTGAGAAAAAAACAGCTTTCTGCCTTCTAAATTTTGGTATGTGCGCTGATCACCAATTCCTCGGTCACTCAGTCAGTAAGGAAAAACAAACTCATACCTATAAATGTAGATATAGATAGTATATCATAATTTCTGACTAGTCTGATTGTTCGTGTCCGGAAAAGCGAATGCTCTGCAATCCCCTACACATTGCATACTTTCAAGCGTCTTAAATAAACAAAATAAAAGCGTTGCAAAATCTGAAAATTGTTCGAACAATTTGTTCCAATTTGCGAGTGTCTACTGTAATTTATGATTTTCACGCACAGCGTTCGCTTTGGAAAGAGGAGCATTATGTAGATATGTGCATGGCACGGCATAAATCGGCCCCCAAAGAGCCCCTGCGCCCCTCATACTATTTGGTATGCTGAGTCATGCGCTTTCAATTTGAGTCAATTTAGAGAGAAGCACAGCCACAAAATCAAGACAAATACAAATACAATCTAATAATTTGGATGATGGTTTAGATAGTTCTGTACCGAGTTGTGCATAGAACTTGTAAGCAGTTCGGTCAAGGTGACAATAAAGTTATAATTCGAGATTTCAAAGCATAGGGATGATATAACAAGATTTTCGCTAGCCAACATGTAGATAGAACTACATATGTATGTATATGGATACAACTTGACTGCTGGTATGTGAATTTCCATCACATGTACATATGTATGCACAATTATATGTCTGTATATACGAAATAAAGATAGGGCACTTACTAAATTAGCAACAGCTTCTGTGTTACTCACTTCTTGTTTGTGCCACAAGCGACACTCAATATTTTCAAAGCTTAGTATCAATATTTATAGACAAAAATATGAATAAGTAAATAAATTGATTGTCTCCAATCTGCTATCGCAAAAAAAAAAAAAGAAAGTAAGGATATATTCAGCATGCCGAAGATTTAATACCATTTTCGAGATTTGCTTAAGGTTTTGCAAATATGTGAGCATAATTTGTTGATCAAAATATCCTGTAAACAAAATATTTTGCCATACAAGGATCTTCTTTTCGACCGATCGACTGATAGCTATATGGCATTGTGGTCAGATGTTGTTAAATTTTGAATATATATGAGGAGCATAGTAAAAAAAAATAATAATTACCGAGTTCGGTTAAGATATATTGAAAAACGAAAAATGTTTTCCATACGAGAACCTACTTTTCGACCGACCGTTTCTATGTCAGCTATTTGATAAAGTGGTCTGATCTAGCCCGTCCCACCATATGTATTCTCTATCTATGCAAGGTTTCAAGACGATAGCTTTAAAACTGAGAGACTAGTTCGCATATGTTGACTCGGCTGTTGTTGCTGATCTAGAATATATATACTTTATAGGGTCGGAGATGTCTCCTGCAATGTGTTACACATCTTATGACAAAACGATTATACTAAGGGTATAAAAACTTGTATTAATATTGTTTTGAAGAAATGTATAATAAAGCTCTACTAACGTTTATTTCCCCTGTTCGAGCATCCCCTCTAGCCGGAAAATGTTTTTCTTTACTATCTTCTTGTCAATTGAGATCTTTCTTAGCTGGAGTAATAGGTATTCTCTCAAGCGAGCTTTCACTAACCAGAAAGCAAAAAAAAATATGTAAATGCTGAGAAAGCACTGGAAGCAAATATTTCTGGAGAATACTTCTACTTCTACTGGAAAATTTTGATAATATACTTATTATATTTTTTATACTGAATAGTTCGAATTAAAGTTGTAAAATCCGAGCATTCACGGTATTGGATTCATACAAATCTTGAATAGGGGGCTGGTCAAATGTCCATAAAAATACTTGCCTGGTAATAGACAAGTTTGTGACGCTTCGCTGGGAACTGCGATAATGGGAAAATGATTGCAACTGGAATATACCAGAAATCGTTTTCACATTCTCTCCGTACAGCTGTGTCGAGTCTTGTTTTAGCCGGTGCGACAATCAAAGTGTGACAGCAAATTAGTAACAGCAATTTTAATTCAATTATATATGACAATAAAAACCTAATCAATGCTCTATAAAACAAATGCCGTTTGTCAGATGAGCAACTGAGCTGCTGATAAGGGGTTCATATCGATTAATATATTTGTTTACTATAAAAGCTAGAGAGGAAATCGGTTCCTGTTGTATTTCCATTATCGATATCTTCCCTGTTTATCAAAAATCGATATATATTGATAAGACTATATAAGCTGAAGTATGTAGATGAAGTCTGTTTCAAATTATCGATAACTCTCTTCCTAAAATCGAAAAATATACTGATTTTTTCAAATTATCGATAACTTTCCTCTCCTCCAAATCTATGAACATACTGAGTGTTTCAACTTACCGACAACTCCCCACTTCTCCCCCTAAATCGATAAATAGAATATTTAAAATTATCAATAGCTGCGCACCATATTGTTTCGACTGAGTCTATTTCAAGCTATCGGTGACTTTCCACTTTACGTAAAATCGATAAATATCGATGGTTAGTCTCGCTATATGAGATATCTATTTGAATATAAGAGCTGGAGACAGCTAATTTGGCTTATAGTTTCTTCTTTCATAGCTCAGATCTGGTTACAGAGAACATCCAAGTCGGG